TATCCTGCAGGTGCACAGGTCTCCTGCCATGCATAAGGCCTATCTGTGCGGCATCCGCGTAGGCGACTCTGTTTCCCCGTGGGATTTCTTCTTGTTTCACTATTTTTATGATTTTTCTAAATTTTTCTAAAACTAAATTAAATAAAATCAAATGCAAATTAAATAATAAATACTCAAAATTTCATAAAATTTCATAAAAATAAAATAATGAAAAATCAACCAGATTTACGAATTACGATAAATAATACGCAGTGTAATTTAAATGAGTTTAATGCTGCCAAAGGGCCGAACAAATAGGATTTTCTAAATTAATTAAGCACAACAATGGGCAGGGTGTTACAAATACCAGGCTAGTATCATTTGTCTATTGAAAGAGAGATAACACTTTTATATTTTTACTGCATTAAATTGGCAGGAAATATATGTTTGATTTCTTTACGAATTTTGCGGCTAGTACAAAAATCAATATAAAAGTATTCATATATATTACTTTTATTATAACATTTTAAAATTGAATCATACTAATCTTTCCTTAACAATATGATTGGTATTTTTTCTCTTCATAAGAGATTTTAGATTCAAATTGTGCATTTTTGTAGATTATCTTTAAGAGGTTATGTCATCTAATTAATGAAATGTATGAATTATTATTAAAAAATCTAAATCCTAAATTTCAATTCTATATTTTAAAAGTAATATTTTTCTGAAAAGTAATATACCTTTTACCCATAACAAGTAGATTTTTAAAACAAACCATAAGGAATGCCTATATAGCAAAATCAACCAATAGCATCATCTAAAATACATGAGACCTTGGAGCATAAAATAATAGCAAAAAAAATGCATAAATAACAACAACATAGTTTAAACACTACATTACACATCTAAAACAACTTCCTATATCTCTATGTGTGATGATGTTTAACAGCAATATGAAAGGGTTATTCGAGACACTTAACTGTTTAAACTAGTTGACGTATAATTGATTAATTTTGGTTGTGTGTGAATTTCATATTGTATGTATAGAAGCTCCAAGGATCATGCCTATATGAGTTAATGGATACCTTATAGATTTTAAGAATTGGAACAAGCGTTCCTTTGGCTATATGCGCACTGAAAAGAAAAAAAAACAACTAAAATCACACATATCACCCACACCACCAAAGATCTCCAAGCTTTTACCAATATCCTCTCAAACCCATTTGTTCCTCTCTTCCAAGCAGCTTTGTTGCTCCCTCTCACTCAATCACAGACACTTGAAAATAGTGCATATCTGCTAGAGCTTTACAACTCTATAAATTCCTATTCACTTTTCCTATTAACACCTCATCCCACACCACAATGACTAGTCAGCTTATTTTCCAGCTATTGCCAACATCACCATCTCAGAACAACCTCCCATACATCTTTCCTATTACACATCTTTGGTATCACGTAGAATTTGGTTAATAATACATTAACCTACCTATTAGCTAAAAACTCATTTTTGATATAGGAAGCTACTAATAATTCAAGCCCTTTTTATGAAAATACTTGAAATTTTATTAACTAGAACTAGCAAATATGATCCAATAATATAACAATTTATTGACCATAGTATACTATTGCCAACAATATAAATTCTTATCTCATATATTATTCCAAACTTTTTAGTGCATTTATGGTGTAAATGTGTATTTAATTTTCATTTAATTTTTTCTTTGTGAAACTATATACATAATATGCCTATAAGTAGTGGTATCTCAATAATAATACACAATTTTCATTTCTCACAAGATAACATGGTATTAGAGCTGTTAATATATCTAGAAGAATTTAGATAGCTAATATATGAATAAATTGTGTTTTCCATACAAAAAATAATGAATAAGGGTGACTTTGATAGAAGATAAATAATGATAGATGGTTGCAAAGAACATTGTGGAGAAAGAGGAAATGGGAAACATGGTTGGATTAATTCGTGAAAAGGATGACAGAGAAGTTGTATCAAAATATGGCTCTGATACCCAAAACTATATTAAAAATATAAATTGCATAATAAAGTTCTCCTTTTATCCTCTTTTTTGAAAAAAATGTGTTCTTCTAGAACGAGATTGTTATTTTTTAATTCAATAAATTTAATACAAATATACTTTATCTTAGGCCAAAAAAAAATTTGTTATATACACAAGAAAACAAAAAAAGTGATATAAGAAGTCCTAGGGGACATACTTTTAAATGTTGGATTACCTGTAGGGTTACTTTACATGTGAAGCTCCCTCATGTATTACATATCGATCATATAATTTGGGATGCATCAATTACCCTTAACTTCCTTAACTGGAAGATTCAAGATGTTATATTTAGGAAATATAATTTCAAACTATCTTCTTATAAATAGTTTGCATTGTAGGTTTTAGCTATTTATCACTATTCTACATAATTAATGAAGTATATATATATATGTTTATTGTTATAGAACTTTTTAATTTTCTAATTATCATGAATTTTTTTTAAAAGGAAGATAACTTTATTTATCAAAGAAGATAGCCATACAACATCATCTTAATCTTTATCCATCTTATTATGTTACTCTATTAGTTTATTTTATACTGGACACTATTAATTAATTCTAAATAATTAGCACTTTGTTGGCAAGGTAACCTACAATTTTCTTTGGGGATAAATCTTTTTAAGGGTTCGGCTGTAGGTTAGGTATTGCATATTTTTCCTTAATGAAAAGATAATTTTATTATTAAAATGGTAGTTGCATGTCCTTTTTTTCTTTGAATAATAAAAAATAATTTTGTCAATAAGGACAATTCCATCATTTTTAAAGAGAGATTACAAGAAAGCACAAAACCACTAGCCGTAGAAAAATTAAAAGCACAATTTAAGAATAAAATTATATGATAATATAGGTGATTCGAAATAGAAGCTAAACACGAAAAAAGTATATTCTTAAAACATTTGTTGTATGATCCCCCTTCATAGCCTCATACCAATACATCAAAAGGTAAGTTACATTTCAGCAAAGAATTCTTTCATGAGTTAGATATAGTTGTTTATGTTTTAACTATATATATGCATATATGTACTTATACTGAAATTTTTATGTTTTTAACTTGTTTATTTCTAAAATAATTTATTTTGATTTATCTTGTAACAATTAACTATTTCAATATTTTAGAAATTGTAAAAGGAAGTGAATGGCAGAATATTGGAGCTTATGTACATTTGAGATAGTCAATTGATGAAGATTGCAAAAGCTTAAACCATCACCCAATCTTCTAAATATCTAATAAAGCACATAGTCACTTGTAGAAATTGAACTAATTATCCTCCCTATTTCATCATCAACTTGAGTAAAGAGATCTATTTGCTATTTGAATAAGTACTAAGCGTAAGTAGGTAAACAATCTCGAAAACATCCATACTTAATTGGATCAGGACCTATTGAAGCCAAGTATTGGTGATTTTAGTGAGTAATATAGCTTTTGTAATAGCTTTACCTAGGATTTCGAACTAGTGGTGAATCAGGAGATGACGGCTGCTAAGGAGTGATTTAAGATGAATTGTATTGTTCTTGGAGTACCACATTGAATAAGAAGATTTTTTATTAGCTTTGACTATTTCTCTAGCCCTCTGGATGGGTTTATGATGCTCTAACATTGGTTCTAACTAGCCAATGAAAGAGACTATTTAGTGGGTATGTATACATACCATTAGAACTCGTACAATGATGGTTTACATTGATTCTTCTATTTTGTTTATTTAGCTATTGTTTCACCTTTAAAGGTTACAGAGTTCTTACTTTTCTACTTATGTTATTGTATAATGCTCAATTTGACATTTTTTAAGTTTTTACTTTTTCTTATAGGAGATAATTGAAGCTAATATAGAGGGTAAATTAATGAGTATGTTGAATATGGTCATTTTCTTTAATTTCTACACTTACACTTAAGAGAGTGAGTAGATAATCAGAGTTGTCTATGGTTAGAACAAGTTAACTGAGCTGGTGAATTAACGTGGCATCAAGCTTGCAATAAGGATCTAATACATGGAGATTTTTCTTTGAAGAAAAGAAAATGAAGGGGATTGGTTGCAGTTAAGGTTATAGGAGGATTATAAAAATTATCAAAGTATATATTTAACTTTTCTTGTCTACTTGTATAAGATCTTAATATAGTTATTAATTGAAAATTATATATATGATTTTAGTTTGAAATCGATATATAAATTAAATATACAGATATAAAGAATGAAATGTAATATGTTTTTACATGTATATATGTGTATTATTAATTTTGATTTGCAGGTCTTCTGAAATCAAAGAAGATACTTTGAAACTTTGTTGTGACTTGGGAACGGATTATTAGTACGTCTATATTAGAAGAGTATAAAAAACAAATACAGGATTACATTTGAAATGTTTGCAAATCATTATAATTAGCTAAAGAGCAAGTCTTATATATATATGTATAAAGTGAGTCAAAAGAAAAGGTGCGCGTATATAATTGTGGTACGATGATGGTAATTAAGGAAGTGGCTATGAATCCAGTTCCTCGTGTGTGGCTAATTTATTTTATATATAAAAATAAAGATTTATGTAACCTGCTCATCACATTATGGGCTTGAGTTCCAAATGCACATTTTCAATTCAAAAATGAATCTCCCTATAAGTTGAGTTAGGCAGACGGTAAAAAAGGAGAGCAATTATATATGCAGGTATATATATATGTATTAAACTTTTCTGAATATTAAATGCTAGATGCAGAATATTTTATTTTAATCTTTAATTGTATATAGAAAAAATATATACACATATGATATTTAGTGCATCAAACCATGTGTATAGTATATAATTTGAAATAATTTAGAATGCACCACATCTTACCTTACATTGTATATTCTATTATATTAAAATGCTCCACCCCCCATTCCTTATTAATAGCTATTCAACCGTTGTATCATTTTATATCTACCCACTCTCGCCCCTTGGGCACACATGATAAAATACCATGACTAGAAAGAAGGTTAACCTTGCTTATATCACTAACAACTCTGCAAGAAATGCCACATTCAAGAAAAGGAAGAATGAGCTGATGAAGAAAGTGAGCGAACTTAGCACTCTTTGCGATATCAAAGCCTGTGAAATTATTTACAGCCCTTATGACTTGCAACCAGATCTTTGGTTTTTCCCTCTCGGAGGCCAACACGTGCTTGTTGACTTTAAGAGGATGCCCGAGATGGAGCAGAGCAAGAAGATGGTGCATCAAGAAAGCTTCATGCACCAGAGGATCACTAAGGCAACGGACTAACTAAAAAAGAAGTGCAATGATAATTGCAAGAAGGAGATAACAGATATCATGATATACTTGAGTGATCCGGTAGAACAAGCGAAACATTTGGCAATAGTGCTAAGGATACTTCGAAGAGCCAAGTTGCATGCAAAGTTCAGTAGATGTGAGTTTTGGTTAGATCAAATAACATTCTTGGCCCATATTGTGTCAAAAGATGGGGTATCTGTTGACCTAGCAAAGTTAGAGGCAATGGTAAAGTAAGAGGATGGAAACACTCAGTAAGTCACCTCAGCCTCAGGAGGCGACAGACGGAGGAGTAATGAAGGGTCCTGGTGAGACTTTCACTCAAATCTAGGAGGATTCTATGGTGCAAAAGTTGTAGTAGCTGTAGATGCAGTTCGTTGATGGGATGAATCCTCAAGCATAGTAACAGCCTTATGTAGGGTCTAACGGGGAACATGCAGAGGTGATGGTGCCATTCACAAATCAGAACAACCAGAATAATTGATTGATATGGTCCAGTGTGTTTAATTACCTTTAGGAATTGAGTATTATGATATTTAATTTTGAATATTTTGGGGGTGTTGTTGGAGATGTACTTTAAATAACCAATTAAATTCGACCATAGATCAGTTTCTTAATCGTTATAGTCATCGTCCAAATTGTTGTAGCTGTCATCATCACAGTCATACTCGTTGGATCACATACATGCATGTACTTAGATTGCTTTATGTTATGATTTTCTTTAGATTAATCTTCACCTCAATATTTTATATTTTATGTGCTAGTCCTACTCTTCATTCTTTAATTTCTCCCTTTCCCTGGCTTGACGTGTCTGCATTACTATTTGTTAAAATATATGCATGCTCAATATAAATTTATGCTATCAGAATGCTCTTTTCTCTTCTTTCTTTTCTTTTTTAATACACAATTGAGAGAGGACAGAAGCATTATTGATGCATTATATGTAGAAATTCAGTTTAGTTAGGAGGAAGATTAAGCTAGCTAGATACTCAAATTTGTTTAGATTTCAAATGAGATGTTTGTATAAAATTTAATAAATATGATGCGCTCTCCAGATCATAAAATTAAATTTTGGGATAATGGCATTAAGGAATAATATTTTCCTCAAAGAAAATCCCGATATAATCCAAATACCTAAAATAATTAATATTTTGATTAATCTGAAATTTAAATATAATTCTAAAAATTTTATTTTAGTCAAAACATGCAATATTTTAAATAACTTAAATATATTGGAGAATCTCTAACGATCATAAATAAAATTTCACGATGCAACTATTTTGTTCAGAATATGGAAAAAAACTGAAATAAATAATTTTCAAACTCAACAATCTGTGAATTGTTAACTAATACTTTATGCAAGAAGAAATGTACAATATATACAAATACATATTTAAATATATACAATCACATAAAATAATAAATATAGAAAAAAAAATTTGACGGCTAATTTCAAACACTTTAAGCAATTAATATTTTAAATTTCTTTTACATATATAAATACTCAAAAATCAATGATATATAGTTTCTTACAATTAAAAAAAATGTTACTAATATAAAACAAGACCATATTTAATTCCAGTGACACAAACTACAACATTAAAATTTTTTCAATATTATAGTATGTTACTCTAGTAAGTGTAGTATGATGTTACAATTGATTCTTAATTGGTGGTAGGTGTAGGAGATCAAGACACATAATTAAGTTTGATTTGGAAGGAGGTGACCACATTAGTTGATGATTAAGCGTAATAACTGTGAGTGTGTATAAGATAAGGAGGTGTGTATGGTTGCCATGTATGATTAATTTCAAGTGTGAATGCATGCTGGGATAATGCAAGAGAGAGTAGGTATATAAGTGCATTATAATGAATCAATAACTTGTAATTAAAAGGGAGGATTGGATGATTTTAGATAAGTGCAGCCTTTCATTATTTTATTAATTAAATTTTGTGAAATACATTCCTTAAATGACAAGATTTTCCCATATCCTCTATTAAAGACATAATATTTTTGGAGATAATTTGAACATTTCACTTGCAATTTTAAAATGCACCACATCTTACCTTACATGGTATATTCTACTATATTAAAATGCTCCAGTCCCCATTCCTTACTAATAACTATTCAATGTTTGTCTCATTCTATATATACACTCACTTGCTCCTTGGACAGACACAACAAAACACTATGGCTAGAAAGAAGGTTAAACTCGCTTATATCACAAACGACTCTGCAAGAAAAGCCATGTTCAAAAAAAGGAAGAAGGGATTGATGAAAAAAGTGAGTGAACTAAGCACTCTCTGTGATGTCAAAGCCTGTGCAATCATTTACAACCCCTATGATTCAAAACAAGAGGTTTTGCCTTCCCTTTTCGGAGCCCAATGCGTACTTGCTTATTTTAAGAGGTTGCCCAAGATGGAGCAAAGAAGAAGATGGTGAATCAAGAGACCTTCTTGTGCCAAAAGATCGCCAAGGAAATAGATCAACTAAAAAAACAGTGCAAGGACAATCACGAGAAAGAGATCACGCATATCATGTTCCAAAGTCTTATCGGGAAGCCCCTCCACCAACTCAACCTTGTTAATCTCAACAATTTTGGTTGGTTTATTGAACAATGCCTCAAAGAAATCCAAAAGAGTATTGGAACACTTTGGAAGTCACCTTAGCCTCAAGAGGCCACAGACGCAGGAGTGATGAAGGGTCCCAAGGAGACATTCACTAAGATCACGGAGGATCACCCGGTGCAGATGTTGCAGCAGCTACAGACGTGGTTCATTGATGGGATGAACCCGCAAGCACATCAGCAACCACCTAGAGCAGATGGGGAATAGGCAGAAATGATGGTGCCATTCACCCATAAGAACAACCAAAATAATGGACTGATATGGTCTAGTGCATTTAACTGCCCTTAGGAATTGAGTATTATGATATTTAATTTTAAATTTTTTGGAGTGTTGTTGGAGATGTACTTTAAATAACCAATTACATTCCACCACAAAGATATGTTGTCGGTTTCTTAGTCATCGTAGCGTCGCCTTAATAGTTGTAGTCATCATAATAGTTGTAACTGTCACCATCATAGTTGTAGTCGTCGAGTCACATGCATACATGTACTTGGATTACTTTGAATTATGATTTTCTTTAGATTAATCTTCTCTTTAATATTTTATATCTTGTACGAGTACTACTCTTCGTTCTTTAATTTCTTTCTTCCCCCTGCTTGACGTGGCTACAACTATTTGTTAAAATACCTGCATGCTCAATGTAATTTTAAGCTATTATAATGCATTTTTCTCTTCTTTTCTTTTCTGTTTTGTTTTACATAATGGAGTGATGACATAAGAATTATTGATGTAGTATATGTAGAAATTCAGTCTAGTTAGGAGGAAGATTAAGCTAGTTAGCTACTCAAATTTATCTAGATTTCAAAATGAGATTTTTGTATGGAATTTAATATATATGGATATGCTCTTCCAATTTTGAAATTAAAATTTAGGATAATGGCATTAAGGAATAATATATTTCTCATAGAAATTCTCAATCTAATCAGAATATCTCAACTAATTAATATTTTTATTAATATGAATATTATGCATGTATCTGGAAAAATACGCTAAAATTTTAAATATGTTGTTTAATTATTTTGTTGGATTTATTTCGGATTCTACTAACTTAGAGATATATAGAATAATCTATCTTTGTTCCCTATATTTTAAAAGATAAAAAAATTATAGTCACATATATACTACTAAATCAGAGTGTTGATGGGAAGTATATGTGTACACTTGCAACGAGCTCCTTAAGTAGTTTGGACAATATCTTGTTTAATTTGCTAAATATGACATATTATTGTGATATAATAGCAATATTGTCTAAATAACAAGTAGAATAAGTATTGCTTCATACGTATATACACATATATATAATCTTTAACTGCTTTTCGTTATTTATATTACACCAGCATGCAATCTATAACATATTGTAATTATCTTAAAGGTTGGAATTAGTAATGGAGGATGGATTGTTTCCTTCTATTTGTTTTTTGAACATGACTTTGCCTTCTTCTTGTTTTCTCAATCTCTATTGCGGGTGTCGGATGTATTATTGACGGCACTTCTCGTTATGTTTGTAGTGGTTAATTACTATTGATAAATTTTATTCTAATTTTTTTAAAAAAGTTAATTATCTTAAAGGCATATATGGATTGTCGAAGTTCAGAAGGCATATATTTTAATACCATACTAGTATCATTTTTTTTCACTGAAGGGAGACAACACCTATATATTATTACTGCATAAAATTTGCAAGAAATATATTGTTGATTTCTTTAGGAGTTTTTTGGCTACTACATAAGTCAATACATAAGTAATCATATATATTACTTTTATTATTATATTTTAAAATTAAATTACAATAATCATTCCTTAATAATATGTATAGTATTTCCTCTCTTTATAAATTTTTTTTTATTGAAATTGTACATTCTCATATATTATCTTTAGGAGATTGTGCTAATTAATAAATGAAATGTATGAATTGTCACTATAGAGATTTAAATCCTAAATTTTATTTTTATTTTTTAGAATTAATATTTTTTTTGAAAAGTAATATAGCTCTTAACAATAACACGCAAAACCAACCACTAGCATCATCTAAAATACATGAGACCTTAGAGTATAAAAGAAGAGCATCATATAAAAAGTGGCATAAACAACCATAAAATAGTCCACACTACACATCTAAAATAACTTCTTGCATGTGTAAACGTGATGATAAACAACTTATAGATTGTGAGAATTAGAGCGACCGTTTTGTTGTGATTGCATGTCTATAAGCCCCAACATTTTCTATATATAGTTTTGGCTATATGTGCACTAAAAAGAAAAAGGCAACTAAAAGTGCACATATTGTTGGGACCAAAACAAAGACTTTTACGATTGAAATGCAAACTATCTTAATTGGAGGACTATATTAGAAATTTGTGAAAAGCAATATCAATATTCTATATGATAAAAATGGGATGCATAGTACAAAGGATGGGTGACCTATTTATATGCAATTCTAACAGTGTAATTATAACCATTATCAATCTTTTATTTCGTTGCCATGTTTTAGTCCCTTAAGACAACTAATTTCGAGTTTTTTTTTCTCTCTCTCTCTTTTTAACTAACCCCTCATATATAAGGAAAATTAATTAAGTATTCTAGCAATCTTCTGGTTCAATTCATTTTTTTTACACACCTATACATATAAGAGAGAGTAGATATATACATGCATTATAATGAAGCATTAACTTTTAATTAAAAAAGATAGTTGTATTTGATTGGGTTTATAAAAGCGCAGCCTTGCAACAATTCACTAATTAAATTTTGTAAATTACATTACCTTTAATCATAAGATCTCTCCATATGTGCTATTAAAAATATAACATTTCTAGAGATTATTTGGGCACTCCATTTGCAGTTTTAATCTAGCCTTACATGGTATATTCAATGTTCCACTTCACATCCATTACTAATAAATCTTCAACCCTTGTCGCATTCTATAAATGCACCATCTCGCTCTTTGACCAGATATGACCAAACACAATGACTAAAAAGAAGGTTAAACTTTCCTATATCACTAACAACTTTGCTAGAAAAGCTACTTTCAAGAAAAGGAAGAAGAGTTGATGAAGAAAGTGAGTGAACTCAGTATGCTCTGCAAAGTCAAAACCTGTGAAATCATTTACAGCCCCTACGATTGGCAACCAGAGGTTTGGTCTTCCCCTTTCCTAGCGCAACGCCTGTTAGTCGACTTTAAAATGATGCCTGAGAAGGAACAAAGCATGAAAATGGTGAATCAAAAGAGTTTCTTGCACCATAGGATCACCTAGGCAACCAACCAATTGAAGAAGCACCGCGAGGACAATAGGGAGAACAAAATCATGCAGGTTATGTACCAAAGCCTTATTGGGAAGCCCCTTCACCAACTAAACCTCATTGTTTTGAATGATTTGGCTTGGCTCATCCAACTATACCTCAAGGAAATACAAATAAGGACAAAAACACTCAACAAGTCACCCCAACCTAGTGGGGCCACGTATGGACTGATTAAGGATTTCGGGTAGATGCCCACTCAGATCAACAAGGATTCTCCAACATATGGAGTTTTACTCATCTTCTAGTTTTCCTACTTTCACCTCAATAACATACCAGTACTATAACATATGGAGTTTCACCCATATTAAAAAAATAATGCAGTATGTAAGAAAGATAAGCAATACATTTTTATCAATTTATTTAAAAAATAATTTCTCTAATTAAGGCTTATCCATAATCTAACTAATTAAATAGAATGTATATATATGTATATATATCCATCCTACTTCTTATACTTATTTTGTTTAAATGATAAAATAATAGGCATTTCTTATCAAATTTATCAATTACAATACATTTCCACAGTTCCCCAGGTTGATCAAACAATAAGATTACAATCAAATTTCCTTGGCCACAATATATATCAAAAATGAAATAAATTAGAACATTTATGTATATATATTGAACATATAAAACATATATGCTGATTGAGAACAAAAAAACTGTCCTTACATGAGTTTTGCCATCTATACATGCTTTTCCAATATAAAACCATTATAGGATTCCTCATTCTTTTCCCCTTTGAATGTATACAGGAAAAAGGCATTCACATACACAAACATATATAGAGAAAATAGTTATATGTGATCTCATGTCTTTATTTTGTATGAAGTTTATGTTTTAAAAGAACATGATGGGTAGGGTAGAATTATAATTAATTGGTCCAAGTGGATTTATTTTATTTCAGAAAAGAAAGAAAACAATTTTATTATTAGTGTAGTAGTTTTATTAGTTGCATGTATTTGATTGAAAGCAAAGATACATAATTGTCTTCTTCTTTTCCTTCTTTCATATGCTTTATTAGGTATTTTAAATATTTTTCAGCACACAAAATTTTCAAATAAATCTTCTTTTTCAAAATAATTACTGATTGTTTATTGTAACTCTATGAAAAAAATATAAATTTCGAAAGTATAAAGAATCCAAAACATGGAAGCCCGATTGCATATAGTAACTAATTATCTACTAAATGTATATAATTGATTGTTATATAGAGACATATTTCGACTTTAATAATTGTAATTAAAATATTCTTCTATAAAGATAAAATCAAATACACATGCACTCTAAATAATCATATTCGACATATTGCATACCAAATAAAATAATGCAGGAGAGAGTAGATATAAAGATGGACTATAGGGAAACATTAGCTCTTAATTAAAAGGGATAGTCATGATTAAAGAAATTTTGTATAAGTGCAGCCCTGCAACAACTTACTAATTAAATTTTGTGAAACATTTCCTTAAATCAAAATTTTCCCATATTCCCTATTAAAGACATAGCATTTTAGAGATGATTTCGACACTCCACTTCAAGTTTTAGAATGCAGTACATCTAACCTCACTTGGTATATTCAATGTTTCACTCCCCATCTTTTACTAATATTCTTCAACCCTTGTCTCATTCTATATATACCCATTCCCTCTCTTAAGCCACAAACCAAATGACAAAAGACCATGAGTAGAAAAAAAGTTAAGTTTGCCTATATTACCTAATGGCCCCGCAAAAAAAAAAACCACATT